TAGTAGAGACGGGGTTTCACCATGTTGACCAGGATGGTCTCGATCTCTTGACCTCGTGATCCACCCGCCTCGGCCTCCCAAAGTGCTGGGATTACAGGCTTGAGCCACCGCGCCCGGCACCTGGCTAATTTTTGTATTTTTAGTAGAAATGGGGTTTCACCATGTTGGCCAGGCTGGTCTCAAACTCCTGACCTCACGTGATCCTCCCACCTCAGCCTCCCAAAGTGCTGGGATTACAAGCGTAAGCCACCATCCTGGCCCATTTGCATATCCATTGAGTGTGTACTTTGTGCCAAGTTCTGTGCTAGCCACAGGCAATTCAACATTTATTGGAACGATGTAGTCCCTGTCTGCATGGAATTCATTGGCTAGGGGAGGAAGCAGTTTGCCTCTGGCCCTATGGCCAGAGCAGCCCCAGGTGAAGGTTATGAATTATTTGTCCCATCCAATGGTGTTCCAGCAATCCGCCACAGGGAGGGAAGGAGGCCCCACAGAGCTATGCTGTCTCCTTCCCAGGATGAGCTGGAGCACAGCCTGGGAGAGAGTGCAGCCCAAGGGGCAGCCGGAGTGGTGCTCTGGGTGAGCTGGGAAAATACGAGAACCAAGGTGAGTTAGGCCTGGCATAGGGGTGGGGCTAGGGTGGGGGTGGAGGAGGGGTGGGGACATTAAGCTGACTTGGGAGACACTGGCTTACCCTTTCTACCCTCAAAGTCCTGGCTGACCAGCAGGTGAGTGCCTCAGTGCTCTAGATAGGTCCATGCATGGCCATGGTGTCCCTGACACTTTCCTCCCCTCCCACCTAGGAATCATGTCAGGCCATCAAGGAGTATGTGGACACTACACTGGGACCCTTCATCCTGAACGTGACCAATGGGGCCCTTCTCTGCAGTCATGCCCTGTGCTCCGGTCATGGCCGCTGTGTCCGCCGCCCCGGCCACCCCAAAGCCCTCCTCATCCTTAACCCTGCCAGTTTCTCCATCCAGCTCAAGCCTGGTGGTGGGCCCCTGAGCCTGCAGGGTGCCCTCTCACTTGAAGATCGGGCACAGATGGCTGTGGAGTTCAAATGTCGATGCTACCCTGGCTGGCAGGGAGCGTGGTGTGGGCAGAAGAGCATGTGGTGATTGGCCACACATTGGGATGCACACATTGAGAACCTAATGCACTCTGGGTCTGTCCAGGGCTTTCTCAAATACAGGCACAGTCACAAGTCATGGTCACAGTGAGGAGTACACTCAGCCACTGTCATGAGCATATGCCGTACACACACATGCATACTTACAGACTGGAATAGTGGCATAAGGAGTTAGAACCACAGCAGACACCATCCATTCCATGTCAATATGCATCTACTTGGCAGGGTGAGAGACAATTCCTCCAGAGACACTGAGCCAGTCTTTGAGCTGCAGCAGTCACGAAGGCTCACATTCACTGAGCGCCTACTCTGCCAATATCCGTGCTAAGCATTTTATGTTGACTTATTCTTTCCTCACAATGAGGCTATGAGGAAACCGAGGCACTCACAGTGAGGGTAAGCACTTTGCCAAGGTTGCACAGCAAGAAAAGTGAGAAATTGAGATTCAAAGCCAGGCTGTCTGGCTCCAGGGGTACAGCCCTGGCACTCCTAACTGAGTGTATGGTAACCAGCCCTGCACGACCCCTGAATCTGCTGAGAGGCAGCAGCCCAGCAAATAAAGCAGTCATGATTTACTTAGCTGTTTATTGAGCGCCTAAAATGTCCAGGCCCCGGTATCCAAAGGGCACAGGAAAGGCTTGTCACTCTCACCAGATCTGACGTCAGTCTAAGGGCGGCTGCTTCCCAGGGTAGGCCCAAATTTCAGGAGGAAGCCCCACCTGATCTAACCATTTCCAAGCTGTCCTGGGGCAGGAGGCCGGCGGGAACTAGGGCAGGGCTGGCGGAGGAAAAGCCAGCTGGAGGTGGTGCCTGCGCCTGGTTGAAGGGGTGACCCGCAGGGCCTGGATGAAGCCAAATAGAGGTGGGACCTAACCTGTGACGCAATGAGGAGGCGGGGCCTGTATGGGGCCGGGCGGGGAGGAGGCGGAGTCAACTGGAGATGGGGTGGGGCTCAGCAAGGGCGGAGCCAGAGCAGAGACTGAGTCTGCGCCTGCTGAGTGTTGTGACGCGCAAACGAGGGGAGGGGCCTAAGCGGCTACGCGCGGGTGCATTGGCGCGCCGCGGATAGCGACCGCTGCCGTACAGCCGCCGCACCACTGGGGGCCAGCGCTTTCGGACTTAGGAGTCCGAGCCGGCGACTGAGTGAGATACCCAGCCGTGCGGAGCTAGGACGCGGAACATCCCGGAGGCCGCATCAACATGTCAGTACCGCCCCCTCCCCATTTGTTGCCTGTACGTCCACCCCGCGCGTGGGGTCCCCAAGTGGCCATGTCACCCCGCACGCCCTCCCTGCGTCGGTCGTTCCTTTCCAGAGCATGCCGAGCCACACCTGCTCACAGTCAGCTCTCAAAGTCCCAAAAGTTCCACAGCCTGTGACTCACTAGGAGGGAGGAGGAAACCGAGGCCCAGGAGAGACGGTGAAGCCACTCTCTGAGGACCCCGGAGCCCCGCCCCGCCCACAGTGGGTGGGGTCGGCACTGAAGGGGTTAAGGCCGCCGGGTAGTCCCTGGCTCAGGCCTAGGGGCGGATCCTGGAGCTTCCTCCCTCCAGATCGAAGAGTGCGGCTGCTGCAGAGGGGGCTGATGCAGGTGAGGGGCTTATAGCCCTGTGAATGGGGTGGGAGGTGAGGGGTGGGTGCTGCCTGTTACTGGCCAGTGTTGAATTGGCCTCAAGCTCAGGAGAGGTAAGGGGAGCCAGGAGGCCCCCACAGGAGCATGTGGGTAGAAGGATGGGTCCAACTGCCTGCCCACCCCTAGAAAACCCCCAGTGTAGACCTGCCTGACAGCAAGACCTTGGTTAAGATGGGCAAACAGTGGGGTTTGGGCACAGGTTTGGGCCCCTAACCTGGCCCCTCCAACCTGGTGACCGTTGGATACCCTGTGGATATAGGAAGGAAGCTGTGGTCTTTATCTAGGGTGCCTGCGAAACTCAGGCCGGTGGGGAACCAAGCCTGCAGAGGTAATACTGCTGTGTGACTGTGGCCAGGCAGGCCCAGTGCTGGTGCTGCTGGGGCCCCATCTGAGGGGACAGTTGGGTCTATATCCAAAGTGTCCTGAGATGGCAGAGTTGGGAAGGGGGCCATGGGCTCCAGGCAGGGAAGGCAGCCAAGACAGGCTAAAGCTGAGCCTGATGGGTGGGTGAATGGAGCCCTAGGATCCACTAAGGCAGTGGGCATTGCCCAGGTAGTTGAAAAGCTGGGAACTGGAGGAGACTCTGAACATAGGGAGATGAAAGGGACAGGAAGACCCCTAGAGGCAGTATTTCCTCTGGAGGGAACCTGGGGTAGGTTTGGGCAGGTGGTATAGTGTCTGTTTTGCACCTTCTGTCCCATGCCCTAGTGGTGTGGACTAGGAGGACTACTGGGAGACAGGAGGCCAGCAAGTAGATTGGGTCAGCTGTCTTATAGACCTGGTGGTTCAAAGGCCCCCTGTGAGGGGAGGTCCTAAGGAGGACAAATTTGTAGCCAGAGCAGGCTAGGGCCATGACTCCTGGGTTCTCCGCCAGCCTTAAGCAACTCATCCATCACTCCCAGCCTCCCTCCAATGTAGGACAGACACCTGGATCTATCTTCCCTGCTCTCCCCTATACCAGGAGTAGGGAGTGGGTCTCTTTCAGGTCACCTGTGCCATCAGGTGAGTGTGGGACAAAGTGCAGCTCACCACTCCCCAGTTCCAGTATGCATGGTCCCCCTTGCACTCTGTCAGCCCTTCCCTGCCCCAACCCCATCCTCCTTCCTGGCACAGCCCAGCATGGCTGTTATCTACAGGAGGAGAGCCCCTGTGGTCTGAAGAGATGCCACTGCCTGGAGACTGGAGTCTTAACCTCTAGCGTGGCACTGAGCCACCTGCAACCTAGCAGGAGGTTACCCTGGCTCCCAGCCTGACTCAGCTGAACCTGAATCCTATGCGTAGGCAAGAGCTGACTGTGAGCCCTGGCCCAGCCAAGCTGACCCTTACACTAGACCCTAATACACCAGATGGAGCTGATCCTGAGTACCAGCCCAGCTGAGCTGACTCTGGATCCTACCTGCCAGCCAGAGCTGACCCTGAAATCCAGCCTGACCAAGCTAACCCTGGATCCTACGTGCCAGCGAGAGCTGCCTCTGGATTCCACATGCCATCCAAAGATGACCTTCAGTCCTAGTGCAGCTGAGCTTACTCTGGATCCTGAACACCAGCCAGAGAAGACCCTAGCTCCTAGCCTAGCTGAGTTGACCCTGGAGCCTGTGCACCGCCGACCCGAGCTCCTGGATGCTTGTGCTGACCTCATCAATGATGAGTGGCCCCGCAGCCGTGCCTCCCGCCTGCACTCCCTGGGCCAGTCCTCAGATGCCTTCCCCCTCTGCCTGATGCTGCTGAGCCCCAACCCCACACCTGAAGCAGCACCCATTGTGGTGGGCCATGCCCGCCTGTCACGGGTGCTGAACCAGCCCCAGAGCCTCTTAGTGGAGACGGTGGTAGTGGCCCGGGCCCTGAGGGGCCGTGGCTTTGGCCGCCGCCTCATGGAGGGCCTGGAGGTGTTTGCTCGGGCCCGGGGCTTCCGCAAGCTGCACCTCACCACCCATGACCAGCTGCACTTCTATACCCACCTGGGCTACCAGCTGGGTGAGCCTGTGCAGGGCCTGGTCTTCACCAGCAGACAGCTGCCTGCCACCCTGCTTAATTTCTTCCCCATGGCCCTCTCTCCCCGGCTACCCTGGAAGGCCCCAAACCTAACTGTCCAAGCTGCCCCAAGGGGTCCCAAAGGGCCTCCATTGCCACCACCCCCTCCCCTACCTGAGTGCCTGACCACCTCACCCCCAGCTCCATCAGGGCCCCCTCCAAAAAGCCTGCTGGAGACACAATACCAAAACATGAGAGGGTGCCCCATATTCTGGATGGAAAAAGACATCTGAGGCCATCCAGGGCAAGGAGTTGTCTTTTTGGGTCAATAGACTGCCCTGGACAGTCTACCAGCCTCATCCACCAACCATACCTCAGCTGCTAGCCCCTGCAGGGGCAGCTTTAGCCTGAGCAGTGGGGCCAGGAGGTGGAGCTGGCTCAGAGCCATCAGTTTGGCTGAATAAAGGCTCTGTTGGGTGTGGCTGTGACAGTTTGTTTGTTGAACCCCCTTACCCTCACCTCTCACCTCTTCTGCAGGTCCCCTATTCCTGCAGAAGCCCCCAGATTCGCCTTGGCCCTGAGGCCATTGATGGGAGGATGCCTGTACTTTGCCCTTCCCCCCCAACCAGGCCCAGGAGACAGGGTGGCTGTTCTCTTCCCCATTGACTCACTCACTACCGTTCACTAAGCCCAGAACAGGACATAGGCAATGGGGAACTAGACAGGCAGGGTGATGGATAGGGAGACAAACAGGCATACAGCGGCAGGATCCATGTGGCACAGGGGAGGTAAAGATGCTTTGGAAACCCAAGTGCCTTCACTCCACCTGGGGATCCAGGAGACCTTGCAGGGCAGTGATGTCACAGCAGAGACCTGAGTGCTAGGTAGGAATTAAACCAGGCAGGTAAGGAGGTGGGAGCTGAGTGTTCTTGGAACAGGGAACAAGGTGTGCAGAGGAAAGAAGAGGACTTGTAACAGCTGTAGGAGGACACTGGTGTCTTCACAAAGATGGGAAACATGGGAGGGAATGTACCCTCAGCTCACTGTAAAGCGCACTTTGGTGTGTACCTGCCACTCGATGCCCGGGAGATCATAGCCAGCTTATGGTGTGGCTGCTTTAAAAAGCCCAAGAGACCCTGGGGAAACATGTTTTCTTTAGGCTCCTCCCATAGGATAAGGAGGAGCTGGGGGAGCTTTCCTGGCTTTCCCTGCTATGTGGAAGGTGTGGCCATGGCCATGGACTCTAAGCTCACACATCCCTCTCTCCTGCAGGTTTCCATCCTTGGGGCATGACCACGCAACTAGGCCTGGTGCTGGGGGTGGCCCTGTGCCTGGGTTGTGGCCAGCCCCTGCCACACATCCCTGAACACCCCTTCTCTGTGCTGTGGAATGTACCCTCAGCACACTGTAAAGCCCGTTTTGGTGTGCACCTGCCACTCAATACCCTGGGCATCATAGCCAACCATGGCCAGCATTTCCATGGTCAGAATATGACCATTTTCTACAAGAACCAGCTGGGCCTCTATCCCTACTTTGGGCCCAGGGGCACAGTTCACAATGGGGGAATCCCCCAGGCTTTGCCCCTTGACCGTCACCTGGCACTGGCTGCCTACCAGATCCACCACAGCCTGAGACCCAGCTTTGCTGGCCCAGCAGTGCTGGATTGGGAGGAGTGGTGTCCACTCTGGGCTGGGAACTGGGGCCACCGCCGGGCCTATCAGGCAGCTTCTTGGGCTTGGGCACAGCAGGTATTCCCTGACCTGGACCCTCAGGAGCAGCTCTACAAGGCCTATACTGGCTTTGAGCAGGCGGCCCGTGCGCTGATGGAGGATACGCTGCGGCTGGGCCAGGCACTGCGGCCCCATGGACTCTGGGGCTTCTATCGCTACCCAAACTGCGGCAATGGCTGGCATAGTACAGCTTCCAACTATACCGGCCGCTGCCGTGCAGCCACCCTTGCCCGAAACACCCAACTGCATTGGCTCTGGGCCGCCTCCAGTGCTCTCTTCCCCAGCATCTACCTACCACCCAGCCTGCCACCTGCCTACCACCAGGCCTTTGTCCGACATCGCCTGGAGGAGGCCTTCCGTGTGGCCCTTGTTGGGCACCAACATCCCCTGCCTGTCTTGGCCTATGTCCGCCTTACACACCGGAGATCTAGGCGGTTCCTGTCCCAGGTAAGTGGGAGCTGAGGTCTAGGGGCCTGAATCAGGAGGTATGGCCCTGTTCTTGGAAGATCCCAGAAGACCTTGCCTAGGGGTAGGTCCTAATCTAGGGGTTTTGAGCAGAAGACCCTGTCGTGGAGCATCTGATGAGGGAGGTATGGCTCTGCCCTGGAAGATCTTGAGGCGTAGGGAGGCCCAGCCTTTGGAGCCCTGGTCTGAGGGGAGATAGATCTGAGTGGAAGGCCTGAGAAGCCACTCAGAGACTCGATACAAAGGAGCCCTACTCGGGCTGAGTGGCTCACACCTATAATCCCAGTACTTTGGGAGTCTGAGATGGAAGGATTCCTTGAGGTCAAGAGTTTGAGACCAGCCTGGGCAATACAGTAAGACCCCAGTCTCTACCCAAGTTGGCCAGGCTAGTCTTGAACTCCTGACCTCAGGTGATCTGCCCACCTCAGCCTCCCAAATTGCTGGCATTACAGGTGTGAGCCACCACGCCCAGCCGCTAATTTTTATATTTTTGTAGAGATGGGGTTTCATCATGTTGCCCAGGCTGGCTCTGGACTCAAGCAGTCCTCCCGCTTTGGCCTCCCAAAGTGCTGGGATTAGAGGTGTGAGCCACTGCACCCAGCCTAAAAAGTTATTAGCCAGGTGTTATGACATGGGCCTGTAGTCCCAGCTACTTGGGAGGCTGAGATGAGGTGGGAGGATCACTTGATCCCAGGAGTTTAAGGCTGCAGTGAGCTATGATCATGCCACTGAACTCCAGCCTGGATGACAGAGCAAAACCCTGCCTCTAAAACCAAACCAAACTAGAAGGGCCCCACTGTAGAGGTAGAATCAGATTGTGGCAGTGAACCAGAAGAGTTTCTTAAAGGTGGATGTGGACCCACATGGATCTGGCCAGTCTAGCCCTGGCTTAGCAGCTCTCTGCCTCTAGGATGACCTTGTGCAGACCATTGGTGTGAGCGCAGCACTAGGGGCAGCCGGCGTGGTGCTCTGGGGGGACCTGAGCCTCTCCAGCTCTGAGGTGATCATTGCCCCTTTGAGCCTGTCATGTAGCACATGCTGGGGTCCCAGGGTGAGGGATGGCCATGTCAAGACTGTGGAGCATATATTGACACATCCCTTCCTTTCTTAGGAGGAGTGCTGGCATCTCCATGACTACCTGGTGCACACCTTGGGCCCCTATGTGATCAATGTGACCAGGGCAGCAATGGCCTGCAGTCACCAGCAGTGCCATGGCCACGGGCGCTGTGCCTGGCGAGATCCAGGACAGATGGAAGCATTTCTACACCTGTGGCCAGACGGAAGCCTTGGAGGTTGGAAGTCCTTCAGCTGCCACTGTTACTGGGGCTGGGCTGGCCCTACCTGCCGGGAGCCCAGGCCTGGGCCTAAAGAAGCAGTATAAAGCCAGGGCCCCTGCCACTGCCTCTTCTTTCCCTGCTGCCACTTTTCCAGTCCAGGAGCTACTGTGTCCCACTCTTGCTCTATTCAGCTTACCAACCCTCCCAAAAGCACACACTCCACTTCTCTTGGAATCCCTGAGGCATGGAAGGGGCCAGAAAAAAGGCTTATAAAACCAGAGGCCTTCTGAGATCACGTGACTCCTCCATGGCAAGGAAGCAGTTCCAGGGAGAGTCACGTTCCAGCTAGTTAGGGGTGCCAGCCCAGGGCTTTGTACCTACACCTTACTAGACCCATGGAGAGGTCACAGGAGATGGGCCATGCGCGGGCAGATGGGCCCCAAAAAATCTTGGCTAAGGTCTGTTAAGTGCTAAGCTGTTGTCTGTACTCTTTCATCATAAAATCACTTTTTCTTCCACTGCCTGAGGTTTGGCTGCTCCTCCTGTTATCCCAAACTCTAAGCCCTTTCCGGGGTCCCCAGACCTAGGCAGCGGTCGGCCTCGTCGGGAGTGTCCTGCCAAGTGCCTTTAGAAGCCAGTCCTGCCGTGGCGCTCCACTGAGGGACGCTTCGGAGTTAACGACCGTGCACTAGTGGCCACCAAGGGGCTGAGGCACGCGCAGGGCATTGTGGGAACATAGTTAAGCTAGCGCGTCGTCGGCGAGTGGGCTCCAGGCGTGGACTACCATTCCCGTGGTGCTCTACGCGCAGCTCAGGCCCCTGGGATTAGTAGTTTTGGTTGCGTCGATGTGGGTCTGAACCGGATGGCCGGGAACTCGACTTCCCAGCGACCTGTTTGGCAGGGCGGGCCGCCTCGGGAAGATGGTGGCGCGCGCGGCGTGTGGCTCCCGTCTGGCCAAGTCTCAGCGCAGCGCACCGGCCGGCGTCTTGCTGGCCTGGAGCCCACACCCACCGGGTCCCTGACCCCGCGCCCCCTGCGCCCCCCGCGCCCGGTTCCCAGCATGCCTCGCGCCCGTAAGGGCAACACGCTCCGAAAGGGTGGTCAGCGCCGTGGAGGAGGTGAGTGGGGTGGGGGGCGCCGAGCTTATGAGCGGCAGGTGGGGGTCCTGCTGGTTCCCTGTAGTTGTTCCCGAGGGCCCTGGGTGGGGAACCCTTTCGGCCAGCCCCAGGCAGCTTCCCGGAACTCTACGGAGGCTGGCACGTGCCGCAGCAGTCATTGGCCACGTGCGTGCCCAACTTGATCTCGCTGCTCACTGCCTGTTGGGAGCCCGCGCTCCCAGCGGTGACCCGGCCAGCCTTTCCGGGCCTCAGTTTCTCTATTGCCTCTCTGCCTCAGTGGCCTGCTGGGTGGACAAACTCACCGGACAGAGCAGAAAGCCAGTCCCCTCGCCAAACCCTGATCCTTTCCTGGACTGGTCAAGGAAGTTGGCGGGAGTCCTGGATTGCTTGGGTGAACAGAAGGAGGGGGCTCTGTTGGGAAGTTACAGAATTAGGGCCTTGGCAGCTTGGCAGGCCTGACCCCACAAGGTGGCTGAGTATCCTGGAGCCTGAGGCAGCTTTGGGACTCTCTTATCAGCTTAGACCAGGAGCCTGTCTTAATGTAGTAAACACATATGTTTACTTTGCTGGGATGGGGTGCCTACCATGCACAATTTTATTTATTTTTATTTTTGACGGGGAGGGGAGGAAAGCCTGGCACAGAAAGAAGGAAAAGACCTAGGCACAACTTTAAACTGGTCACCACCCTGGTGGGATTTGGGTGGGGGACATCTAATAGGATTTGGAACATGTTCACTGAGTGGTGTCAGCTCCAGACTTAGGACTCAGGTAGGCCTGCGGGGAGGTACTTATGGGTAAGTCCCAAGAAGATGGAGAAGAGAGCAAGTTGTGCAGAGGTCTGGCAGCTGGAGGGACCCCAGCATAGTGGAGTGAATGAGGGAAGGCTGGGCTGCTCTGTCAGGTAGGATAGTAAGATAAAAGGGGAGCAGAGGCCAGTGTGCCGGCTGGACTTTGTCCTGCAGGTGAGGGCTGTGAGTAGTTCTGAGAAGTAGGTCCAGCCTGATGATCAGACCCTGTCCAAAACTCTGCCACAGCAGCCACCCTTGCCAATGTCAGCCCTTGGCCCTGGACAGACCCCACATACAGGAGTGCACCAGCCCTACTGACCTGACCCTTGGCTTTGATTTTTCCTCTCCGAGAGGGTGTACCATTCCATCTTTTGGGATTATGAGGTCAGGTGAGGTACCCCAGCCATCCCTCATCAGTGGAGGCAAGTTGAGTGTCCTATTCCACCTTCCCCCAGGTGTCCGGAGCAGTGCCCAAGCTGACTCAGGTTCCAGTGAGGATGAGGCAGCCAGTGAGGCCCGCAGCACCGCCAGCGAATGCCCCAGCCTTCTCAGCACCACTGCAGAGGACAGCCTTGGTGAGAGCAAGTGGAAGTTTGACAGGGGCTTGGTGAGGGGGCTTCATGGGACAAGAAGAAGTGCTGACCAGGTGGCCTTGCAGGGGGGGATGTCGTGGATGAGCAGGGCCAGCAAGAAGACCTTGAGGAGAAGCTGAAGGAGTATGTGGACTGCCTCACAGACAAGAGGTACCCCTGACTGCCAGCCAACTCTTACACCCAGCTCCAAGTGTGACCAAGGGAGGGCTGGCCCATATGACCCCTCTTCTTGACCTCCCCCAGTGCCAAGACCCGGCAGGGTGCTCTTGAGAGCCTGCGCCTGGCCCTGGCATCCCGCCTACTCCCTGACTTCTTGCTGGAGCGCTGCCTCACGCTAGCCGATGCCCTGGAAAAGTGCCTCAAGAAAGGTTGGACCTGGGGGTGCATGGGAGACTTAAACTTCGCAGACACTGGCCCTTGCTGCATGGGCTGACTGGAAAGCATCCCACAGGGAAGGGCGAGGAACAGGCCCTGGCTGCCGCTTTGCTAGGCCTGCTCTGCGTGCAGCTGGGCCCTGGACCCAAGGGTGAGGAGCTGTTCCACAGCCTGCAGCCGCTGCTCATCTCTGTGCTCAGTGACAGCACAGCTAGCCCTGCCGCCCAGCTCCACGTGAGTGTGCCCGTGCCCCATGAAACCCTTCCTCCACCTTATCCCTCAGCAGAATGGTGGGTTCCTCCTGTCTTCAGCCTCCCCTACTCTGAGGGGGGTGAGCTCCAGGGCTGGGAACGCAGGTTCACCTGCTGACCGTGGCATGGCATTGCCCTCCTCCCAACAGTGCGCTTCTGCCCTTGGCCTGGGCTGCTACGTGGCTGCCGCCGACATCCAGGTGAGTGGTCTTTGGGCACAGGTGGTAGAACACCTAGGCTTGTAACTCTGCCTCTGAGTTCCCCTGCCTTCCTGTGCTCCTAGGACGTGGTCTCTTGCCTTGCTTGCTTAGAAAGTGTTTTCAGCCGGTTTTATGGCTTGGGCAGCTCTGCAACTCCTGTGGTCCCTGCCAGCCTGCACAGCCTACTCTGTGCTGCCCTGCAGGCCTGGGCGTTACTGCTCACCATCTGCCCCAGCACCCACTTCAGCCACATCCTTGACAGGTAGGTGTGGCTGTCCACTGGGATGGGTAGGGGATCTCAAAGAGGCCCCCAACCCACACATGTAGCTCAGCCTGCCCCTTCCCTAGGCAGCTGCCCCGGCTGCCCCAGCTCTTGTCCAGTGAAAGTGTGAACCTGCGGATCGCTGCTGGTGAAACCATTGCCCTGCTCTTTGAGCTTGCCCGGGACCTTGAGGTGCGAGGGACAGGGATGGGGGTGCTTGGTGACACCACCTGCCCATCGAAGGCTGGATGCAGGGGTGCAACAGAAAACAGAATAGCTTTAGGTCATTATGTAGAGGATGTGGCCCCAACACAGATTAATCTGCCAGATGTCATGATGGGTGCCCTGAGCCAGGGTGTCCTGGCCAGGCAGAGGCCAAGGAGGGGTCAAAGGGGCCAGGCAGAGAAGAGACGGTCTCTCAGTGAAAACAGGGGTTTAGGCAGTGCTGCGTTGAGAGCCAGCAGAGCTCAAGCATTTGCTACACACCCTTCAACACTCGCATTGCAGGAGGAGTTTGTTTACAAGGACATGGAGGCCCTCTGCAGTGTCCTGCGCACTCTGGCCACTGACAGCAACAAGTACCGTGCTAAGGCTGATCGCCGGCGCCAGCGCTCTACTTTCCGCGCCGTGCTGCACTCCGTGGAGGTGTGTGTGAGAACATATGTGTCCTAGCAAGGGTGCACCCCCAGGCATAACAGCTAAGCCCAGTTGTGTGGGTCCCTCTAACCCTGCAGGGCGGTGAATGCGAAGAAGAGACAGTGCGCTTCGGCTTTGAGGTGCTCTACATGGACAGCTGGGCTCGGCACCGGATCTATGCTGCTTTCAAGGAAGTGCTGGGTTCGGGCATGCACCACCACCTCCAGGTGCGGGGACACACAGGGAGGGAGCACCTGGCTTGGCTGCTTCAGGCTGGCCTGGGCTCACTGCCCTCTGCCCCCCAGAACAATGAGCTACTCCGTGACATCTTTGGGCTGGGCCCTGTGCTGGTGCTGGATGCTGCTGCCCTGAAGGCCTGCAAGGTTCCACGCTTCGAGAAGGTTTGTTCCCTTGGGCACCTTCCTCTTCCCCCTATTCCCCTGTTTCCTGGAGGCCTGGAATTCTGCAGTGGCTGGAAGAGGAGCCCCAGGCCTTTCCCTTCCCTGCTCCCCAGGGTATCACTCTCTGTCCCCACTCCAGCACCTGTACAACGCTGCCGCCTTCAAAGCCCGGACCAAGGCTCGAAGCCGTGTGCGGGACAAGCGGGCAGACATCCTGTGAAGCAGGACCAGCCGAAAAGGAGAGTCTCCATACCTTTGGTCCATATTTTTAACAGAAGACAGTGCAACAACTGGATTCCACCAGTATTTGTCACTTTATTTTTTTAATTAGAAAATCAAAAACAGACATGGGGTGGGCAGCTGGGGGCCTGGACACTTGGGACCCTGGCTCCTTTCTCCCTGCACTCAGCCCCGTGGCCTCTTCCTGCCTTGTCTCAGGCCAGGCTAAATATGTGCCTGTCCCAGGGCTGTGGGGGAGGCACTAGGGAGTCTTTCCCTTCCTTTTCTTTCTCAGGCCTTGCTCCCCTAGGATGACCCACTCTTAGGTGGGTGGTAGCATCTGGACAAATGCCACTACAGCAGGTGGGGAGACAAAGTTACCTGGAATGGATTTGTGTGCTGATTTTTAAGGATTATTAGAGATATTAAACAGAATGCTCAGCCTTCTGTGGTCTTAACCCCTGAGTATTTTTCTTTTCTCTCTCCCTATCTATCTATCACCCCACACTTGGGCCCAACTGGGTCTTCCCCCATGTCACATTTGCCCTCCAAGGCTCCCCCAGGTGGCGCCTCTCCCCCCACTCAGAGCCCCAATCTGTCTTTGAGAGCTGAGGCTGGACCCCCACTGGGAGGCCTGGCAGAGTTTGGTGACTGCCGTGAGGCAGCTATTTCTAGACTTCAGAACCTGCCATCTGGAGGTGGCCAGAGATTGCTGACAGGCCACAGGAGGAGCCAGGAGGCTGGTACACCTTCCCCTGACCTTGGGTCACCCAGAACAAAGGCTTGGCACCAGACGCTTGGCTAGGCCTGGCTTGAAGAGATCAGGAGAGGCAGGTAGCTGTGAAATCGGTATCAGGTTCTTTTTTTTTTTTAAAGATGGGGTTTCACCATGATGGCCAAGCTGGTTTTGAACTCCTGACCTCAGGTGATCCACCCACCTCAGCCTCCCAAACAGCTAGGATTACAGGCGTGAGCCACCACGCCCGGCGGTATCAGGTTCTTACACAAAAATCTCACCCAGGAAATAATGTAGATGTGGCAGCCAGCAGTAGGGAAGGAGAGACCTGCCCATAGCCACTTTATTCCTCCCAACACACACCCCCAGGCCCCAGATCCAAGTGGCATCAGCAGGGTGCTGCTTGGGCCTCACTGGAGTTGAGCCTCCGAAGCTGGCTGAGGCTGGCCAGGCGGAGTTTGAGTAGCGTCTCCTCCTGCGTGTGCAGTGTGTGTGCCAGGATGCGTAGGGATTCACTCTGCAGCACTATAAATGAGAAGTCGGGGATCACGAGACCATGTGCCACCCCAGCCCAGGACTGGGGGCACCCGTGAGCCTCCCATCCCATCCTTTGTTGCTGCAGCATCTGCAGTTCCTCCTTCCAACTGCATAGAAGTGCCTCCCAAGCTCCACTGCCCTGCCCTCTTCCTACCGGCAGCCTGTGCATCCATACCGCTCAGGTAGACAGCCAGGAGTGCGAGTGCCAGGCAGGTGAGCACCAGCAGCGTGAGCAGCAGCAGGAACCCTCGTCTGTACACAGGACTGCAGCCAGCCTGGGCACACAGCGACGGCGGCAAAACACCCAGCAGCTCATCCCATGGCCGTACCTCTTCAGTCAGATAGGGGCGCAGTGTGCCTGCTGGGTGGATGGGACAGCGGGAGGGTGGTGGGTGCACCTGCTTTCATCCCCACCCCCAGCACATTATCCACCCCTGTCCCGGCTCACCTCCGCTGTGTAGGTCGCTGATGGACTCCACACGGTGCAGGCGCACCTCCTGCACATGGTTGGGGGCCAGTGCCCCACTGCTCCTCTGGCTGGGCATCACTGGTGCCATGGAGTCTGCAGGGCCAGTGCAGGCTGATTTAGCCAGTGGTGGATCAACCCCCTTCTATCAGGTGGCTGGCTGATCCTTCAGGCAGCAGGGACTTCGGAGGATAGGGATAGTGGGGCATTTGGCTCCAAATCCCCTAAAGCTGACTCTGGAATGACCCTTGATTTGGATCCAGGATGATCCCAGACCCTTAAAGGTTTATTCTGTACACAGGAGCAACAGACACATTTGATTTGTTTCCTTCTAAGCACCCCAGGGACTCGGACATTCCTCCGCCTCCTCATTTCTAGCAGTTATCAGCCTTTTATACTAAACCCACAGAGAATGCAATTCAGTCCCAGGACATCCACTGTTGAGTATGAAGGGTTTTTTTTTTTTCCCCAATTTCCTGATACTTACGAATTTCAGTTCCCAGAAGTGGAATTATTGCATCCAAGAGTAGGGATTTTTTTTTTAAGTCTCAAAAAAAAGAACACAACAAAAAGAGTCTCCCTGTGTTGCTCAGGCTGGAGTGCTATGGTAAGATCTTGCCTCACTGCAACCTCCACCTCCTGGGTTCAAGCAGTTCTGCATCAGCCTCCTGAGTAGCTGGGATTACAGGTGTGTACCACCATGCCCAGCTAGTTTTTGTATTTTTAGTAGAGACGAGGATTCACCATGTTTGCCCAGCCTGGTCTTGAACTCCTGACCTCAAGTGATCCACCTGCCTTGGCCTTCATTACAGGCATGAACCACTGCACCCAGCTGGTTTTTGTTTGCTTTTTTTTTTTTTTT